ATGTTAAATATCCAACGAAAAGAACGTCATAACCCAAGATCTAAAGTTAGGGATCGTTGACTTAATGCTTTAATGAGGGTACTTTTGGCTGTCTGGAGGAAAGTAAAGAGTTAAGTGGCTTACGGTCACTCAGAGAAGGGGAGATTAAACTGATGGCAGCACCAGTGTTCACGAGGAAATTACGGCAGGAATGCCTGTCGAAAATGTGGAGCAGGCGACCTGGCGAGATTGGACCGACCAAATTCGTCGCCGTTACTGCCCGCCAGGTGAATTTTCCACCGAGAATTTTTTTCCAACGATATAGAAATCGACAGTTATGGGTATTTTACGTAATGGTGTGGTGACACCCGCCAGGCGTGGACGGGCCTGACAGTGCAGAGGGGGACCTCAGACGGCGAGGAATGGAAGGACTTCGACGGTAAGAAACATGAGAGGTACAAAGCTGTGAAACGTCAAGGATGGAAGCGCATGCACGTGTCATGACATCCTCCATTGTAGGCGTAGTTGATTCAGTTTTAGTACGACTGGAAACATTGTCTGTAACAGGCGGCCGGTAGTACTTGAGAATGCGGTCACCAGTCCCCCCCCCCCCGATCACATATACAGACGAGGGAGGGATTTTAGGTGCAAGGATAGCTTGCACGGAAGACAGTATTCGTTGAAAGGGTAGCTATTTAAACATTTTGACATCACGACTTCGTCCGTTCTCCAGCTGCCCCAGGAGCTGCGTGGACTTCTTAAAAACAAGGTCTTCCTCAGAAATCAAACGTTACAGGCGCTTTTGGGTTAATAGGGTCATTTGGGAATTTAGGGTCTACTTTAGAGGGCTCGTGGCCCGGTGAGTAGAGGCGTTGACTTCTAAACCAACAGGTCGCGAGTTCGAGGCTCGGGTGTTCCACACTTCGGGCTTGGGTATGGCTGGCTGACGACGGCTAATAAGCCAGAAATGGCCATTCCAGTCTCCCTTGTCTTTGTCGGTAATATCATTCTGCCTATATGTCATGCGCCGCTGTGCGGCTGCTGGTTGGGCTCGAGGGAGAGCCCTTAAGGCACAACGGAACGAGTGAGTTCCGTATGAACGATCGGTGAGCGCCCCCTAACACTTTAGAGGAGTATATGGGGCTCCTGTGGGCGGACAATCTACAATATTGTGAAGATCTGTGGCAATATCCACTGGCAATGCTGCCACAGCCTAATGAAATTTCGTATCCTCCCTTTCCAATCTGGCAGAGGGCGAAACGGGATTTTGTAATGCGCTAGCACAATGCAATATCATTAAGCAATGCGAGGGGGGGCGTCGAAAGTTTGGATGCTGATTATTGTCTAGCTTGTAGTTTCGCTGGTTTTTATTATCCGATGTAGGTCAGATGTCAGAAAACTGAGGTAGACGAATGGTGCGTTGACACTGTGGGTGAAAGGTAGCACCCGTGTTAGACGAAAAGGTGAGGTAGCGTGGATAGCAAATAAGGTCTGAATTCGAACTGACCCTACAATAGTTGGGCAGTTTTTATGCAAGCCCACCAACTCTTTCCTCATCTATTTATTTGTATTCTGGCCACGTGAAATGAAGGACATTTTCGCCAAAAGTTTTGGAAAGATACCTTCGAAATAAAGCGTAGTCCTCTCTCTCCTAGGCCACCCTACTAAAATAAGTTGCCTTCCAGTAGTCCTCTGTCCCATGTAAATATTAAAGCGGATGAGTTTAACTGATGACAAGTCGGGTGGCCTGTAGGCTGCAGGGTATGTCGGCAAGGGGTGGACAGTTGTCAGCGGAATCTGATTGTTTTTTCCCCTTCATCACGCCCCTTGTTCCACGCACGACTGTATGCATGTGCTTGACGCTGTAACACCTCACCCGGCCGCCCGATTTCTCCTGTTGTGCCCCCCGCCCATTAGAAATGCGTGGATGCGTAGTCCCTCTCTCTCTCCCCCGGCCCAATCATTGTACAGCAGCAGCGTCGAAGGCGCCCCTGTCTGCGGATGGCAGTCGAATTCGCATGCACTCGAAGCCCGTCGCAGGCCAGCCCCCATCAGCAGGTTGTGACTTGTTTTCGCTGCGATTCGGTGGTCGCGCCTGACCCCGCCGACACCGGTCCTCAAGGTAGCGTGTGTGTGAGAGAGAGTGAGACTTCGCTGGCGGCCTCGGGGAGGGGGAGGAAGGTTACATTTGAAAAAAGAAATGAGACAAATCAGGGCCCGTGACATTCGTGCCGTCATTTAATTTAATGTTGCGCTCGGGTAGCCTCTTGAGGGCTTCTGAACACAGGCCCTGTTCTACAAAAGCAGCAGAATGCCAGTCATCTCCGTGGTAGCGATCTGGCTGCTTTCCGGTAGAGACAGGATACTGCTAAACTGTCGCTTGGTTGGAGTAGGCATATCCGTTGTGCAGGCCAACCTACCTGGCAAAAGTGCCATCGTGCTGCCTCCAACTTCTGAGGCGGAGTTTGTATTTTCAGAGTTTACTGAAATAGTTCAGGAGCGCATCTTCACAGCAAATTTGCCAAAAGCTTTTGAAAATGCTGCCCTACCAGGCGGAACAAAAACTGCAGTCTCCGTCATGTGATGTTTGGTTATCCTCTGACAGTGAGCGTACACACTTCTAGTAACTTCGTCCAAGTGATTTATTCGAGGAGCGAATCAGCATACTTTGCTTGCTGGAATGCTAACCCACAATGGTGGTGAGCACTCCACTTTCAACCGCCGCTTTGGCTGCGGTAGTACAAATATTCCAGATTAGACTTCTCTTTGCAGTATCCGTTCCGTTGAATCTATTTGGCCGAACTCCTTCAGTACAAAGACCTTCGAGGAAATCGCATACCTACGGTCTGTTAAAGTCCTTTGCTGATTTGGATTAGAGGCATGAGTTGAACGCAGACTTCTTTACAGAGGCAGACCAATCTTTCCTCTTCAGAGGGGAGGCTTCTTGGAAATGATTAAGACGTTTGCTAGGAAGTCAGACACCGACGAATGATACTGAGAACATTTATCGGGACAGCAGGGAACAGGGAATTCGTTCAGTAGACCCTAATAAAAATTTTACTTTTCCAGAATAAGGATTATACGAAATCCCGGAAGCATAATCTACACACAGTTCGGCCTCGTCACACAGGCGGAAGATTTGTTCCAATTGCAGTTTATGTGCCATACGAGCCGAAAATGAGCGACAGGTGCGACTGCATGAGTAAAGAGGTGCGGCAGCACTTTTAAATCCAGGAACCCGTCTACCAGAAAGCGTTTTAGATGCACAAGGCAACCGCTTTTATTGCATTTTCCAAGTTCGTTTGCGAACACTAACCGACTCAGTTCCGATCGCATTCCCCGCTTCCTCATAGCCACAGTGCCTTTCCAGGCGCGGTTACCTCATTCTCGGCTTTCAGGACAAACGCGCAACTCAGTTCTTTTCAGCCACAGCGTACCATTTTGCCATTTCTGTCACTGGACACGTTATTATGTAGCCTTCCGACACTCTGTTTACCGTAGAAGTCTTTGTACCGAACGACAGTGCGAGGTACGATGGGAATTTTTTCATCTCTGATTAGGAGCATGCGTGGTTATTGTAAACCCCACTAATCAAATCTAAGGTCCTGGTGTGGGTTTAAATACACGTTTTCTCAGGCAATAAGTAACTCAGGGCGATGGACTGTTTTGTCCGTGTCGGTTCCGCTGTGCCATCAGCGGGCCAAATCTAGGAAGAAGTAAAATGCCCCATATAAAGTACACGTGACGTGCCCTGCCGTGTTTGGAGATGCCACTGTTATCTTAGTGATGCTCAGCGAACGAAAGGCATTTGCTCAAATGAGGCCACAATCAAGGCCACACTACCCTACGACTATGAACCAAGAATTGTTCTCTCTACTGTCTGGCGACAGATCAAATCATATGAGAAGTGGTGCATTCGGAGAGTACTGTGGATTCGACCCCGTGGAACTCTGGTTCGGACGTTGGGTTTCACCGCCCACCGGCGGCACTTCCTGCTGGCTATCCAGTAAAAGGCCACAATCTCTGAGGGGCACAAGAACTTACCTCCCCGAAACATCATCCAATTTTCCGCTCCCATTGTGGTGGTGATGGAAGAGGAGGAGGAGGAGGAGGAGTAGGAGGAGGAGGAGGATGCGACCTCAAGCAACGAGCTAGCTCAGCGACTAGCCAACCTTCCAGCCGCCACCGCCGACGAGGGCGCCTCCATGGGGAACCGATGGTGCCAACTAAGGAACACAGTCCAGTCCACCGCCCTAGCTGCCCTTGGTCGCACACGCCGCCAATATCAGGGCTGGTCCGACGACAATGACGCCGACCTCGACCACACACCCACTCTACACGAAATTATCAAGGCCTGCACCACCTCTCCAGCGGGAAGGCGCCCAGATCGAATGCTGTCACTACTGATATCTACAAGCACAGTGGCCTCCAACTTATGTATCATCTGACGGCGTTCTTCTAGGAGATGTGGAGTCAAGGAGAAGTTTCTCGGGACTTGAAGGACACCACAATTTTCTACAAGCGGAAATGGAACCGCCAAATCTGCGACAACCACAGGGGGCACCTCCATGCCGGAAAAATCTTTGCTCGACTTCTCCTCAACCACCTCAACATCCATCTGGACCAGAGACTCCTGGCGGAAAGCTAGTGCGGCTTCCGCCATCATTCAGAACCACTGACATTATATTCACCGCTCAGCAACTACGGGAAAAGTGTCAGGAGATGCGGATACATCGTGGATCTGACAAAGGACTCTGGAAATAATACAGAAATCCGGCTGTCCTGAACAATCCACTCAGCTGTCGTGTCAGCTCCACGATGGCATGATGGCGCGAGTCACGGACAATGGAGCCGTCTCAGAGGCATTCGCAGTGACGAACGGAGTGAAGCAGGGCTGCGTCCTCGCGCCTACTCTCTTCAGTCTCATGTTCTCTGCCATGCTGATGGACACCTAACGTGACGAACGCCCCGGGATCCGCGTCGACCACAGGACAGACGGCCGACACTTCATTCAGCGGCGGATGCACTTCCAGTCGCGTTTATCCACAGCTACTGTCCATGAACTTCTCTTCGCCGACGACTGCGCCCTAAACACCTCCTCGGAAAGGAACATGCGAAAGAGCATGGACTTCTTCACCGCCGCCTGGCACAACTTCGGCCTGGTCATCAACACGGTGAAGACGGTGTTTATGCATCAACTGTCCCCCGACGCTGCCTACGTAGCACCCCAAGTCAACGAGAACAGCACCCAGATGCAAGTCGTAGACAACTTCGCCTACCTGAACGGCACCCCTCTCACATTATCGAGATCGAAAATGAAGTGGTTTGCCGGATTTCCAAAGCCAGCTAAGCCCTCGGTCGTTTGCAAAACAAAGTTTGGTATCGACGCGGTCTCCACTCAGCACTAAGCTGAAGATGTACAACGCAGTCATTCTGCAGACGCTGCTGTGTGGAGCAGAGACCTGGACGGTGTATAAGAAGCAGGCGCGGAGACTCAACCACTCCCACTTCAGCTGCCTCCGAAGGATACTGAAGCTGAGTTGGCAGGACCGGATCCCGGACACGGAAGTGCTGGAACGGACAGGAATTCTCAGTATCTACGCCGTGCTGAGACAACTGCAACCGCGCTGGAGCGGCAATCTGATGTGCATGGACGAAGAGAGGCCACCCAAATGACTCTTTTGCGGAGATTTCGTCACGGAATCTCGCCGACAAGGAGGTCAAGTACGATGCTCGAAGACACTCTGAAGGCTTCTATGAAGCATCTACAGATCAACCCGACCAACTGAATAGACCTTATCCGGGACCGACCAACATGGCGGAGAACAGTGACTGCAGACGCAGTTATCTACGAAGCCAACCGCATCACTACCACAAAATCCAAACGCGGAGACCTCAAAGCGTAACTTCCCGTACCTCGCAACACCATTGCTTAGCCGTCCTCGACCTGATCTTGATGCCAACGGACGTTCCGGACATCAATCCGTCTCACTGGACATCTTCGAACCTACTGTAGCACCCGCACGACATCACCTGATGTCTCCCAGTCTGCCTCTGCCTCACCCCCACACAACCCTAACACGCCAACAAACATTAACCTTACCACCGCCAACACTAATGATTTGGACACTATCCAAACCTGTCATACTTGCGTCTGCACTTTCACCTCACACCTCGGCCTGGTTAGTCGCTTGCGAATTAATCGCACAGAGACCGGTGAATCAGTGCCTTGAGCACCGACATACACTCGCCGCATCTGCCTCCACTGTCCACACTGCCCCAGCACATTCACTCACCGCATGAACCTACTAGGGCACATGCGTATCCAGGACAGCGTAATTCACTGCAGTCTCGACACACCTAGCACGCCTTGCACATCCACCATGCCTAGACCAATCCACACCCCGCCGCCCAGCACGCTCCCCACTAGCAGCTCCACCATCACCGCCATCAACACCGAAACTGACTCTGACACTCCCGGTCTATCTTGTCCACAGTGTCCCTGTACATGCACCTCACCCATCGACCTGGTCGGTCACTTGCGAACCCATCGCACAGAGACTGGCAAACCAGTGCCTGGAGCCCCCACATACTCCCGACGCATCCGCCTCAACTACCCTCACTGCCTATTAGGTCTTATGCTCACTCACGAAAACCTGCGTTAGACAACCGTCGGCTACACCACATCATCATGCCTTTCCCCACCAGCACCTGCGTCACACAAAGACATCACTCATCACCATAAAACGCAAGGACTTAGTTGCTACCTTCCGCGCGAGTGCGAAGTGTGCTTCTCGGTTCCTTCTCCATGCGGTTACTTTGCTGCATGCGTGATCCGAGTTTGAGACTATCACGGTGCGTCAAGCGCCGTGGCTTCGAAGGCTGCCGACTGACCGCTCCATTCAGTCCACGCGGCCTGGTCAGTTGTGTGTGTTTGTGTGGAGAGCGGACTGGTGGGCTGAGAGTCAGGCTAGAAAGGCTCCTGAATAGTCACCCGGCTGCCACGGCTCCTCTTTAAAGTGTCCTCTGGCACTCTCACGCATGGGAAGAGTGTGTGTTTTAGGGGTAGTGCCCCTCAGTCGATGACTGGCTGGTTACCCAGCCTTTGAAGGTTCAGGCAAAATGCTGGCCTCAAGGATTGCGAGCGTCTGCTATGCCATGATCAGCAAATCATGGTGCGCTGGCAGTTCTTTGGCACCTCGTTCCCCTGCTGGTAGATGCGTTTGCGCTCCCACTGGGTATACGGATCGCGTGCATGGCTGCCCAGTCATTCTAGTCTTTCTGTTGTTTTTGTTGGCTAAAATCCTGTTCAAGTGTTGTTATGGTGCCGCGGGTGGGGGGTGGGTGGATGGGTGCGCCTAGGTGCGAGTTTGACCGTGCCATCCACATGTGCCCTCTTCACCTCCGGTCTTCCTGACTAGTTTTTGAAACCGGGCCTAGGTGGGAGAGGAGAGGGTGCGGCAGATGCTGCGCAAGTCTACTCCCACTAATTTAGGCGCAATTCACCTCGTCTGCTTCATCTTGCTGCGGAGCACACGCTGGACATCATCGGCTGCGACGGTCGAACTTTCGGGGCTGCTGGTGATGGTGGTGGTGGTCATATCTGACGTGAAACCAGTTCGCAGTGTTCATGAAGATAACAATATAATCTTGAAGATGAACGGTGAGATGTAACAAAGCATGTCTCCCGGATTCTGGAGGCAACCAAACCAGCGCTGACGTCTGTCGACTCAAGCGTTTTTAGTTCCCTGCATATGGCTGCTTGCGGGAGCAGTTAACCCAGATTTGGCTATTACAGTCGTCACGGCTTTGTTGAATACCTATTGTTCCTTCCAAGTTCAACATCTGAACGAGCCTTCGGTTGGGTCCTACTCTGGATGAAACAGAATCTTTCTTACCTACCCTCCGGTCAGATGGGTAGGCGTTGCGGTCTCCTGAAACGCACAACAAAAATTAGGTCGCAGACGGAACTAGCGCGGATATCTTTGGTTGCACGGAGTGCACCGGCTGGAAGAGAACAAATCAGGGACTGCGGATTGGCAAATGCCTATGGCACTAACGGCAGCAGCATTTAATTTGGCGCCAATATATTCAAAAAGTGGCAAAGATTAAGCACATGCGCCAGGTAAGAAAACGCTAACTGCTGTTTTAAAGTCCTGCTTTACTGGCAGACGCATGCGTTCCGTCTAACAATATTTCGCGACTTTTTTGCTACCTGACTGCTCTCCGGGCAGAATTATTTTAAAATTGATCTTTTATCCTATTAAATGATTACATGTAGGATGTGCAGAAGAACTAACCAATGTTGACATTTCGGCCGCATCGAATGCTCTGGGAGGTACAGGTCAGCGGATGACATTCTGCCGACGAAGGGCCGACCAAAAACTCAACAGAAAAACGCCCACTTTTGAAAATATCGCACATAGTTCTCCGTAGTTTTTCCTTAATCCGCGCAGGTACTTAACCCTTGCCACAAAGGTCACAGATTAACGTCAAGTCCACAACTGCACGCGTATGACACGAGTCACCAGTGGAGACGACCAGCGGTTGCCTGCGCGAGCGAACAGGGATGAGAAGGGGCGAGGTCTTATTTCGTAACCGTACCTTTTAGGGGTTAGGCCTTAGGGATTAGGGATGAGGCATAGGGTTAAACCCCCCTATTACCACTAGTCCCGTATGACAGGAGGCTGGGGCTTGTATACTGCAGGTACGGCTACTAAATAAGATCCGACCTGATAAGTTTTCAAGGGATTGAAGTGGCGCAACAATGGGACTTGGATGAACATTCTGGATCCCCAAACAACATAATGCAAACGCCTGGTTCAACGACAGGCACTTTGGTTTTGGTTCTGCTCAAGGCTGTCGAGTTTTAAGCAAATCCCAGGTCTTCCCAGAGGTGTGTGAGCTAGGAATAAAAATGCCGGTCTCTTTTTTGGTCAGCAAACTCCTGCAGATTTCGTAGACCAAATCTCCTCTACTTTCGCCACATGTGTCTTCTATACTAAAGTCATCCCCATTTCGTCGCTTCATTTTGGGTCACATTACCCCGAATTTTTTCAATGTGGGTATTTTCGTATTCTTCATCGCACCCTCAACTTGCATCCTATATAAGTTCTTATTCTGTTTTTACGTGTAAACGCTACTTCCTCTTTTTTTCCTGGGATATTGTAGGGCTCAGCAAGACGTGGGAGTTTGCTTCGTTTGCGTTTTTTCTTCCCCGCTAGTATCTTCTTATCCATCATAATTGGCATGGTTAACATTCCCCTTTCCCCACCAGGTAACTATCTTATTATCGTATTCCAAACCAGGCCAATCTCAACCCAGTGATTTGGGAATCGAAAGGTTCTTAAGGCTCCCCCAGTGGCGATGTTCATTCTATCTCCAATTAGACGACCGCTTCCGTTCACATTTTGCTTCCCGACTTCAGAACTTGAAAAGAAGAAGCTGTTCTAGCCGAATGTCCACGTGAGGACCCAGGAGCTATTTTAAGGTGGACTGATATGGAATAAACAGACAGTTTTGCCTTTGATGAATAAACATTCTCGGCTCCTGAAATTAGGAGACACTGCAGAGGGACAGGGTGTCCAGCCGGTGAGTCGAGTATGCATGCAATGGTCATAAACGTGTCGGTATTACGACATCGGATATGTGGCACGCCAGTGAGCAGGGCTTTATTCGCCGTCACTGGGCAGAGTTCTGGGGTCTTCACTTGGTGCGCTCGGTTGGCGAATGGAGACATTCGTCGTTGGATTCAGGCAACACAGGAAACCGTCCCCCTACCAATTAGCCCCATTCGACCACTAGCTGGCGAGACGCAGCAGGAGTGTCACATTTCGTTCGTTCTTGTTAAGCTTTCGAAGATGAAGGATTCCAAAAGAATCGATCTCTGGCTCAAGAACAGCAGCGTAGAGCTTCCTCGACTATCGTAATTCGATTTATTAACCCTCTAAACTTGATTAATGCCTTTTTGACCTCATTTTCTCGCGACGGTGGATTTTTCCCGATAAGTAATAACGACAGAGGCAACAGGTGATATTCATATGTAACATTTTGACAGCTTCAGACAACTTGGACCTTAAGAGGACACCAAAAACATGAGTGAGTTGCATTGTTGCCCGGTATTTAGCATCCATCGCCAACTTTTCATAGACTCTGTCTTATAAACTCGTTCTTGGTCGACTGCTCATCGACTGCCCAGCTGGACTCTTTGGCCCACAGGATATGGCTGCCTGTAGACTCGAACACTAACTGTTCGATGATGCAACATTGGAGATCCACGAAATTGTGATTTCTATATGCTACAATCTAAATGGACCTCTATAATGATGAAAAATCCTTCCTGAACTCGTTGCACATAGAAGCTGCCTCTGAAATAAGTACATTAACACGCACTAGGAAAGAGTTACCA